TTAATTTTTTCACAGAGCATATTCCATTTACTGTGCAGTTCATAATCTTGTGGACACGTTCTAAGTAATATATTTGTCAGCATGGTAGCTTCTGTTGGGCAAAACTTACTGCCAATAAGACCTGAACTTAATCTCTCACATATCTGCAGCGGCAACCAGTGATCAGGTGCTTCAATATTACAGATTTCAATTCTTCCATTCTTTATGTCTATGAATACTTTAATTTCCAAATCTAACTGTTCATATAACACATTGAAGTAAGTGTTTACACTAAACTTTGGAGTTTTGCCGTATATCCACTCCCAAGTTTGTAGTTCTTTGGCTTTGCTATTTATTCCAGGAAATAGTGTCTCATCTGTTGGGTTTATTAAGTTAATGTGATTATCAGTTTGATGATAAGCAGCATACTCTGCAGCAATAGCATTTATCAGTACTTCGCAGGTCAGAGTGGGATCTTTTTCCACAAGATTTTTTACTAAGGAAGGTATGCTGGCAGTGGCGTTGCTCTTGATCCCTTGGTAAGGGCTCCTTAGCAAACAAGACAAGGAAGTCTCATCAGTACTACACAATAAAGTGCAATGGTGATAAGCAGAAGTCCTGCCGATCTTAGAAGCTGTTCCTGAGATTTTAAACCGTCCATCAAGTAAAAGGTCAAATCTTTTGGTAGCTTGCACATCCAGCTGGGGTTGGACAGCATTCAGAGCTCTCAAAATTAATTTCAGATTTTGCATTCTATCATACTTGTTTTTGGCTGTAAAGAAAGTCAAGTTGATATTACCCATATCATGGTAGACTGTTCCTCCTCCACTTCTTCTCCGAGCCAGTTTTATACCTTTTTCTCTCATTAGATTCAGGTTACATTCCTGCCAAGGATTCTGATGCCTACCAATTACAACAGAGGGAGAATTTCTCCAAAAAAAAAGAATTGTTTTGCCTTCTAGATTGATATGGTCATGGATCCAGTCTTCTATAGCCAGATTTTGATAAACATCATTGGAAGTCGACTGTAAAATGAGCCCACTTTTTACTGTGTTTTTAAAGCCAGCAGCTGGGACTTTGGAGTTACAAAGTAACTGGAAGCAATTCTTCACTGAAAATGGGATCAGCATGCTTTTAAAAATGGAAGACAAACAAATTAATTCATTGAAAAAGGAAAAATTAAACTCTATTTTCTAGCTATCAATTATTGGTTATTTAATCCAAATATCTAATTCTGTAAGTTATCTAGCTGAGTTGCTATTTTGTTTTGTTTTTTGCTTTTTTTGAGACAGAGTCTCACTTTCTTGCCCAAGTAGAGTGCTGTGGTGTCATAGCTCACAGCAACCTCAAACCCTTGGGCTCAAAAGATCCTATTGCCTCAGCTTGCCAACCTCAACTCTTGGGCTCAAAAGATCCTATTGCCACAACACCCTGCTATTTTTAAGAGACGGGGTCTTGGTCTTGCTCAGGCTGGTCTCAAACTCCTAAACTAAAGCAATCCACCCACCTTGGCCTCACAGAGTGCTAGGATTTCAGGCATGAGCCATAGCGCCCTGTGTTGAGTTGCTTTTTTTGCCTTTTAGCTTTACCATTAGTCTTGGGCAGGTCTACAACAGAATATTCGAAGGAAATAAAGGAAAACAAATTTTAAAT